CTATTGATGACGATATATGATAAATTAAAGCATATTAGTTCGTATAGTGCAACCTTACTATAGCATGTTACTCCACTATGTAGCATGTCGATGATTACTCATGTTGAATCATCTATCGTTGTTTAATTGCTTTAAGTTCTCACTAAGTTGGAAACTTAGCGCGTGGTTATGTTTCTTTCAATATGTTGGTGATTCGTGAAGATTGTGAATAGATTATGGCGTTATATCACCAGAGCAGGTCACCGTAATTAATTATAGTAATTTATCTCTTCTGTGTTTATGAGATCATTAATGGCATATGCACAGGATGAATGTTACTTAAATTCTACTTATTCTTCTGTGGTTAAAGGTTTATGATCACTATATGGATCACTAATAATTTCACTCGCTAGCACATGATATGTGTGGTTTGTAGATGGGACGATTTTTTAGATTTACAATTACAAGCAGTGACGAGAAGGTGAGAAAATTAAGTTTGTAATGTTGAGGGTTAGTCTCTTGAGAAATTTTCCAGGAAAATAATGAAATGAATTAAAGAAAAAAGAATTTGTTAGTATGGAAACTGAGTGGCGGATGACGATGAATAATAAAAATAAACTAATAGATATTAAATTGACAAAGAATATTGAGGGTTAATTTTTCAGAATGATTATTAAACTAAAATAAAATGTTAAAATAAATTTAGGGTAAATTTGTTATTATGTTAAGTCTATTAACTGTCGAATCATCATGGTAATTTTTTAACGAAAAAGAATTAATTTATAAATTTTATTCACTCAAATGATATTTTATGTTTTTTTGAATAATGGATGATGTAACAAAAAAAAAGTACACTATAATTAAGAAAACTATCTTAATAATTTACTTTTTTTAATTAATGGACAATTTTTCAACTCCTGAACTGAACTAATTAGATTTCAATTCATGTCTAATGTCCATGACAGCATGACACCATTTTACAAGTTGGTCAGTATTATATATCTACCAAATTGTGACATTTTTTTCCTAGGATAAGTGCTTGTCTTTTTGTTGACTTTCTTCAAAAATTAGAACAAAACCCTAATCATTCTCATCTCTGTGGTTGGAGGCTTTGGATTTTCCCTCCAACCCTGAAATAGAATATAATTAATTTTTTATGTGTACACCATTGAACAAGTTTGTTAGCTCCAATTAAGAAAGCTTAAAAATGAAGTCAAATGATTCCCTAAAACGACATGCTCTGTATTTTGTAAGAATTTATCTTCCTATTTGGGTTTGGCTTAGTTTAATCCGAAACAGTACTGTGAAATTATTTAAAAAAACAATCATGACTTTATTTAAAAAATTGACGATTTTAAATTAATTTGAAAAATTTTGAATTGGAGTCGCCGCTGACCTTTAGGTTAGGTAGGTCGAATACCTAAAACGTCTTTTAAAACAATTTAAAGGAAAATCGTTTTTAAGACAAAAATTTGTATGCGTTTACTAAAAATTTGATTTAAAGGGTCCGTGAGTCGATTACGCGTGGGGAATGATAAGCAGCCCCACTTAGCCCAAAAATCGATACTTAGTCGCTTACATGTTATCGTAAATGGTGGAAATCATGAATTTGCATCGATAATTAAAGTATGATCCATTTATTGAACGATAAGTAATTTATTCCAAATTAATTATCAGAGAAAATTCTTTAACTTGAAAAAGGAAATATCGAGATTTACAATCCTCCTTCGAAAAAACTATCTCACATATTTCTTATCTGTAAAAGAATATTCTCTCATTAAAAAAAAATATTTAGAAAAAAATATCGAAGTTTGCATGTTCATTATTTAAAAGATGATAGATTTAATTCAAGTTCACCCTTCGTTTGAATGTCGTATCAGATCACACTACTTCGATCAAGCAGTGCTTTCTACCTCCATTCTACAAATAAATGTTCTTGAAAATGTTCGAATAAAAAAATCCAAAATATATTATTGTTGAGTAAAAATATTGATAAATGGTCATTTTATAAAATAAAATAAATAAACAAGATCGAACAAAATAAAATAAAAATTAATAATATATATATATATATATTCAAGGGTTAAGAAATATCAAATAAATACACACCCATCTAATATGATATAATATGTACTTACATAAAAACATATATATATATATATACAAACATGATAAAATTGGAAAGAAATAGAAACCAAATTATACAATAATTAAATTATTTTAAAAAATGTAAAAGTAAGGACCTAATGGAAAATAAACCCCAAGCACTAAAGCGCTAAATAAGGTGACTAAAATGAACATAATGCCAATTTGGAACCTAAATCACAAATGAACCAATTAAATGAACTAAATCACAAATCAGGACTCAAAACAAAGTAATTACCCAAAACATGTTAATGAACAAATAATGGTCAAAATGAAATGTAAATAAATATTGAATCCAAAATGAAACGAACAGAAACCATTAAATGATGACCAAAATGAACACTATACAAAATCAGCAACCAAAAATCTAAACACTTAAACAGATATAATACTAAATAGATAGGACTAAAACGAAACACAAAATAGATAAAGAGCTCGAAATGGAAAGATGAAATTTCATTAAGTGACCGAAACGTAAATATTACAACACAGGGACCCTTCATGCGTGATTGACCCATGCAGTAAACGTAGTGAATTCTAGCACCAAAACGACGTCGTATGACTAAGTGGTTATATACCACTTCAAGGTTTTTTTACCCTATTTCATTTTGTTTTCTGCCCGTAAAAAAAGGAGAAACTCTCTCCCCAAACTTCGAAGAGCCGTCACTCAACGGCGCTTCCAACGGTCGCGCTCGGCGGTCGACGTTTAAAACAATGACCCAAAAGGCCCCTCCTTGCTCTCCAAAGCCCAAAACCTAAACTATTTCGGCCTAAAAACGACCTCAAAAGCCTAGATCTAAAAAAAGAACCGAATGGTCTACCTTCCGCCGCTGCTAAGTCCACCGTCCGATGGAGTCACAGCCGAGTTATGTTGATCTCCTTACAGCCACACGCCTTTTCACTGTTCGAATTTTTCGTCCGACCACTGGAATTGTTGTCGTCAAAGACCCGAAGGTAAACTCTCCTTTTTTTGTTGTTTGATTCGAGTTTTTGTTCGAATATGGATTTGCTCTCTTTGGTTTCTTTTTTCCTTTTCTCCGAATGCCTCTCCTCTTCTTAATTTTGGATGTTGCATGCTGATTTATGGTGGGGTTTCGGGCAGCAGTGAACCCTTTTTTGGTAGGGATATGATTTCCCTAGGTGAAATCCCCGACTTTCAGATTTTTTCTCATTTTTAATGGGGGTTTTCGAATTAGTTTAGGTGTTTGACTGATGTGGTTGTTGTTGATTTTTTGTACACTGTTTGGTCTATGTTGATGACGGCGGTGGCGATGTGGAGCTTCGATGGTGACGGTTGCTTGCTCACGCGGGTAGGGAGTCGAAAAGTTGGTACACGCGCCTGCGATGGACGATCTATCTCCACTGGCGACGGCGGTTGGCTGTAGGATTAAGGTGAAAACCCTACCATCTGGGCGATCTGGACCGTTGGATGAGTCCAGATCCAATGGCTGATGTTGGAGGCGACGCTGGGCAGAAGTGAAGAAACCTTAGTGGGTTTGGGTTGTCAAGTTCGGCCTGGTGCTGGGCCTGAACTGGGTCTGATCTTGGGTCGTGTTGGTTCGTTGTTGCGCTTGGATGCTTGAACCAGGTGGGTTTGTACCGGGCTTTGTAATTTGGTTTGATCCAATTTGTAACCTGAAAATAATAATAATAATAATTAATAAACAATTAAAATCCGGACAAAAACGAATGTCTACAAGTACATGTGTAGAAAGATATACAACGCATCAAAACAATTTAATATTTTTTTTTGTTTCCATGAAATTTTTTAAAGAACCGAAAGTAATCCATTTTTCCTCTTAAGCTATAGATTTTGTTAAAAAAAGAAAACAAAGAAAATAAGGGTTATAAATTGGCTGGGGACCAATGCTTTAAACCGTGTGTTACAGTTGTTCATGGTAGCTGAATTGGAAAAAAGCATACACCCAGTACAAAACATTCAACATTACATCATGCCAATAATGTTTATAATTTCAAAACCTTTGTTTATTTGCTTTTATTTTCATTTTATTAATTATTCAAAAAATTAACAATAACAATTGTATTTTACTAATAAAAATAATAAAATGAATAATAATTACAACACACTTGAGTATAGAAAGAAAATGATGACAATAATCATAAAATCCTCGTATATGTTAAATTCAATAATACAAATAAATTAAAAAAATTCTCTTGAGAATAATGCCCAACGTAAAAGAGTCTAATAACTCTCATAAAAATTTATTACTTATATCAATCTAGATGTTTTACGAAGTGATAAAATAGTGATGATTGAACTAAATTATTTGACAGGCTGTTTCGCTATATAATTATGATTATACGTTAAATAATCTTTTACCAAATATGAGTTTTGATTATATAAGACTAGTGGCCAACCAATCAAAAAAATAAATATTATTAGAGTATTTGTGTGAGCACTGAAACAACTACAAAAATATGTCAAAAACGAACTAAAACTATTAGGAACGTGGTACAAGAACTGAGAAAAATTATATTATAAAAACATAGAAAACGTATCACATGAATATATATTTTTATTTAAATTAAAAATAAAATTCAAGATAAAAAGAAAATGAATGAAATAACATGAAAAAATTAAGAAAAATAATAATTATCAATGATTAACAATTAATATTAGTATTGATATCGTCTTTAATTAAAAAAGTTAAAGAAAAAAAAACATAAATATTAAGAGAAAACTTAAAAGAACGAAAGCTTATTAGTTACCCAAATTATCTGTTGCAGTACTTGATAGGGTACATGGAATTATTTTCTTTTGTCAAACTTTTTATTTTATTTTACTAAATTTGTACAATTTTTAAATGTTCTCAGATGTTCCATTTACGGGTTGTGATTAAGCCAGTAAGGTTCTTGACATGACATCTTGTTATCAAAGTTGCTGCTTTTGTTTCACTTTGTTCCTCCCTTCGGTCTTCTTTCTCTTTTTTCTCCCTTGGCCCAATGTAAATTCAGACAAAAAAAAGAAAAAGAAATTAGAAAAAGGGATAAATCTAAAGCCTTTTACTTTCTTGTGTTCTACTTCTCTTTCGAGTTATTAGCTTTCTGTAAGTTTCAAGGGCTCTCCTCTCTTCTGGGTTTACTTTTGATTTCTATGTTGTTGTTCCTAATGTAATCTTGTGTTTAGTTTATCACTTTTTTTTATAGCTCATGTGTGTGTGTGTGTGTGCGCGTGTATTTGTTTCATTGTTTCTTTGATTGATGCTGGTTCGCTGTTGTTCATAAAATCCAGATCCTGTCATCATTTGACCCAACTGACTTTGGCTGCTGATTTGGGGAAGAAGAGGTAACAGGGACTTACATAGAAACCTGGAGCTTTTCAATTCTTGAAGTTTGTAGTTTTGTTTCCAGTTTTAAGTGGTTTTTCCCTTTAATTTCTGCTGAATTTAAGTCAAAAGGTGTTATCTTTCTGTTTTATGGTTGTACTGAGTAATGAAGTTGCCAAATTTTTAGTATAGGATGATTGATAAAAGCAAGAGTTTTTGCTTTGATACATGCTGTTGGGGGTTTTCAAATTTTTATCCTGATAAAGGTTTCTATTTCTGGGATATTTTTAGGATTTTCTTCCCTGATTTTGGAGTTGAAGTTCCCTTCTTTAAATTGATTCTGTGAAGGAAATTGAATCAGGGTTGGTTTATTGTGGATTTGATTCTTTCTTTTGTTGTAAGATATGATCAAGCAAATACTAGGCAGGCTTCCTCGCAAGCCATCTAAGTCTTCGGAGAATCGTGAACTTGGAGGTTCATCTGCTCCTCCTTTGAGTAATCCCTCCCACTCAAGAAGCAGTGATATTGTGGGTAATCATAGGCTGCTACTCGACAATGCTCCTCTTTCTGGCCCTTATTCTGCTCCTTTCGAATATAACCATGGAAGTCGGCTCGCCCAAGTTGTCGATCAAAAACTTAATGGGAATTCCGGGACTGCTCCATATGAAGCTCTACCGGGATTTAAGGATATTCCTAACTCTGAGAAGCAAACCTTGTTTCTTAGAAAGCTGAGTTTGTGTTGTGTCGTGTTTGATTTCTCAGACCCAATGAAGAACTTGAAAGAGAAAGACATCAAGAGGCAGACATTACTTGAGCTTGTGGATTATGTTAGTTCCGCCAATGGAAAATTTGCTGAATCTGTCATGCAAGAAGCTGTAAAGATGGTGTCTGTCAACTTGTTTCGACCCCTTACACCACAGCCTCGTGAAAACAAGGTGCTAGAAGCCTTCGATTTGGAAGAGGAAGAGCCATCGGCGGACCCTGCATGGGCTCACTTGCAAATTGTATATGAATTCCTTCTGAGATTCGTGGCATCTCCCGAGACTGATGCGAAGTTGGCCAAAAGATACATTGACCATTCTTTCGTTCTTAAATTACTGGATCTGTTTGATTCTGAAGATCCAAGAGAGAGGGAGTATCTAAAAACAATTCTGCATCGTATCTATGGAAAGTTTATGGTGCATCGGCCATTTATCAGGAAAGCTATTAACAACATTTTCTTCCGCTTTATTTTTGAAACGGAGAAGCATAATGGGATAGCCGAGGTTTTGGAGGTTTTGGGAAGTATAATCAACGGGTTTGCCCTGCCACTCAAAGAAGAACACAAGTTGTTCCTTATACGGGCGTTAATACCCCTTCACAAACCAAAATGCTTGCCGATGTACCACCAGCAGTTATCGTACTGCATCACGCAGTTTGTCGAGAAAGACTGCAAACTAGCTGATACTGTTATAGGGGGATTATTGAAGTACTGGCCAGTTACTAATAGTTCCAAGGAAGTCATGTTCCTTAGTGAGCTGGAAGAAATTTTGGAAGCTACTCAGCCTGCTGAATTTCAGAGATGTATGGTACCTTTGTTCCGCAAAATTGCACGATGCTTGAGCAGTTCACACTTTCAGGTAATAGCCTTACAAATTTCACTTCATTCCCTATTGTGTGAAATGGCCTTTTTGATTGTTCCATCTGTCCATTTCTAACCTGCTGAATTTATGTAAACCCTAAAAAACACTCTTTGCTTTGAATAAATTCAATGAAAGGTTAGTTTCTTTCCTCTAGTCCATTTATTTTATGTTCGGAACAAAGGTTTTCCATGATCATCTTTCATTCAAACACGGGTTTCTGCTTTCTTTTGATTGTAATTTGTGTCAGCTGTTTCAATGGTTTTTATCAATTGCTCCCAAATGAGATGATTACGAGGATCGGCTATATGTTAGCAAATTAGATCTATCTGTGCTGCTATCTGTTGTACACCGGTCTAGATGCTCGAGAATACGAGAACCAAATCTTATGTCGCTCCAACTCTTCATTTTTCTTTAAGTACCATGTCCAAACGTGTATCTAATGCATATCTGAACATAGGTTTGGGAATATGATCCTCCAAAGTCTCTCCAAATACATGGAAATTGTAGAAAAATTTGAACATATTCGTGTCCGACACTCACACCCTAGCCTGAGTAACATGGACCAAACCCGTGCTGGTTTGGCATAGATGAAGCTGTGAATAGACTAGACCAAATTTTCTGGTTGTGCCTATGCCTGAAGTTTTTCTTGTTAGGATAATTACTTTTCCTTTGGCAGGAAGGATATGTATTGTGTGTGATTACATACTAGCATTACGAGGCATAACCAATTCGTAGTAATTCAGACAGACGTATATGTAATTTTCTCGTATTAATATTTGGCTTACTTACACTTGAGGGCTACATTTTTCATTAGGGCATTTTGGTGTTCGCTTCGAAGGCCAAGCTGTATGCATGTGTTTAATACACAAAGGAGCTCTTTTATACGTACTAAAATGAACAATAACATATTGTCTATCGTTCTTCGAGTAGTTTGTTCAATGTCATGCTAATATAGTTCAATGAGTAAGACTCTTAAATTATGATGTTACCATGTAAAAACATCTGTTTGAATGCGTATCACTTTCCATAATTAGGCCTTTGTTCGGCAATTTATTGTCGAAAACTATTGTTCCCTGCATACACAGGAATTTGGTTGGTATAGAATTTGGTTGGTATAGTTTTGTGTAAAATTCTTGTTATCAGTATGAGATTTGAAGCTTTCTGTGGTGACATATCTTCTTAATATTATTTGGTTGCACGTGATGGTTTCCCGAAATTTCTGATCACCCATGCTTGCTTTTACAGGTAGCGGAGAGGGCTTTGTACTTGTGGAATAATGATCACATCGAGAACTTAATTAGACAAAACCGCAGAGTTATACTGCCCATTATTTTCCCTGCCTTGGAGCAAAATGGGCATAACCATTGGAATCAGGTTGTCCAGAGCTTGACGCTTAATGTTCGCAAGATTTTTTCCGAGTCTGATCCGGAACTATTTGAAGAATGCTTGAACAAGTTTCAAGAAGATAAAGAAAAGCTGGAAGAGACCAAAGTGAAACATCAATCCACCTGGAAGCGCATAGAAGAGATTGCCGTATCAAAAGCCGCAAACGGTGAACCAGTTCTTGTTCCCCGTGTTTTAGCCTCCGAAACATCATGAGTCCACCCATCGCAAATTGACCCAAACCTAGTCAAGTGTTGATATCTTTTATTGTTGCTGCTGCTGCTGCCACTAGATGGTTCAAATGCTTAGAGAAGTCGAATACTTGATATTAAGCCATCTTTCGCACCGAAAAGTTCGAGTTGGCCCAGCTAGTCCCCGATGGTCAAGATCATTTCGGCAGCATCGACGTCCAAAGCTTGTTATGCATACAAAGCAAATAGAAGTTAGCATCTGCTCTCTCTACTTTTTACCTCTTGTTAGAGTTTGATGTTTTCCAGAATCATACGAACCATCTACAGTCACAGGTAATTTATTTTTTTAATGTTGGTTTAAATTGTTCCTCGCTTGATGGCATGTCTTACATATTTGTATGATCTATATAGCTCATCTTTGTTTACAAATGAAAACTCTTCTTGGTGTGACTTTGTCAATACAAATATTTATATGAATTTGAATGGATTTATTTGGAACTTAATACTACTCCTTACGTATACATTCCCGTATATACTCTCTTCATCTCCAATCAAACCTTCACTGATTGGTCCGACTCCCCTGAGCTCGAAGGGTTCTGAGCCGTCACTAGGCGAAGGTGGCTACTGCAAATACTAACAACGATACTGAGTTTGCCATGGCTGAAAGAAGGCCCCCATGACTCGAAATCCTTATCAAATCGAGTCCGTTTGCGGGGAGGATAAGAAGTAATAGCTGGAGGAACCTGACGACGATTGGCGAGTTGCTTGAGGAAACCGGTGCCTGTTTTGATGGAATCCATTGAAGCAGCCAGCGGCGGTTCCACCCTTAACTCATGGCGGACACATGTTCATCTTGAATTCAAATTTTCTTTTAGTTATTTATTTGATTAATTAATTATGTCTATCTTAAAATTATATTTTTTTTATCTTATACGAAAATTATGTTATAAGTATGTCTATCCTAAAAAATATTTATAAATTCGTCAAAAAAAATCCGGAATGCTTATTGCTTTGCGTACGATATGGCAGATTCATGGATGATAAAATGTCAAATGTATTAAGATGAATGGTATAATTTATTAATTTGAAGTAAAATGTTAAAAGTATTATAATTTAATGATAATGGGTAGTATTAATGGTATCAATTTAGGAACAGGTTTTAAATTTAGAGAACCGAGTATTTAAACCTTTTAATATAAAATAAATTTATGTTTATTTTAACTATTTTACTTGATTTTTTATTTTAATATTTTATTATTTAAATTTTTAATTTCATTTTTTTATATTTTCAATTTAACTTCGAATCAAATCAATTTGCATAAACAATGTGGGTTTATATTGAATAAACAATTTGCATTAAACAAAAATAAAAAGAGAACAATTTGCATTTGAATGTTGAATAATTAATGAAGTTCCAGGTTGCAGAATTTGAATGTTGAATGATTAATGAAGTTCCTGCTTGCAGAACCTATCTTAAAATTGTTTTTATATAACTTTGGATCTTTAATTATAATAATAAGAATAATAATAATAAACATTGGATCCGAGTTCATTAAATGATTTCTTTTTGGGTAAATTATACTTTTAGTATCCTAATTATCAATTTTAATCCATTTTAGTCACCAACTCTTATCTTATCAAATCATTTTAACGTTACGTTTTGGTTTCATTTTGATCATTCACTGTTAAAAAATTAACAAAAATATTGACGTGACATTTAAAAAAATCAATGTTGATGCGACATTATCTTATGGTGACACATTAACATCACCGTTAATTTTTAAATGTGGATGATCAAAATGAAACCAAAACGTAATGTTAGGTATTATTTTGAAACAAAAATAGTTAAGTGACTAAAATAGAATAAAAGTAATAGTTAGGGTACTAAACATGTAGTTTACCCTTTCCTTTTTAATGATCAATAATATAAAGTCTTTGCGTTTATTTTTTTCAGCCAGAAATAATCAATCCTATTTTAAAGGTGACAATGGAGTTTGAAAAATCAAAGAGCAGAAGAATGACGACGGATCTGAAAGTTGAAACCTTCCGTACTGAATCCATCAAACCTTCTTCACCCACTCCCCTTAATCTCAAAACCTTCGAGCTTTCACTTCTTGATCGGATGACTCCGCCGATGTATATACCGTTGATTTTCTGGTACACAGGAAACGCTGCCGCCGATGATCGTTTTCTCGAGGCTGAGGAAAGATTTCACCGGATGAAGAAATCGTTATCAGAAACGTTAACTCGGTTCTACCCTTTTGCAGGCAGGATAAGTGATTGCTTAATCGACTGTAACGATGAAGGGGTTGACTATATTGAAGCTCGAGTCAACTGTGTCCTCCACGACATCCTTAAACCACCCAATGGCGAGTTACTGGCGGAGTTTCTTCCTATACAAACGGAGTCAAATGAAGCAGCAACGGGACGATTATTACTCGTTAAAGTTAACTTCTTTGAGTGCGGTGGCATGGCGGTCGGCGTGTGCCTTTCCCACAAGATCGCCGATTTATACACCTTGAGCAAATTTGTAAACACTTGGGCCGCCATAACTCGGGGTTCTAACGAGGCGGCGGTGTTCCCGGAATTCGGATGCGCGACGTCATTTTTACCACCTCAGAAAGATTTATCCTTTACGATTCCCGCCATGGAATTCAATCCTGGAAAGGGTGTTTCGAGGAGGTTCGTATTCGATTCTTCTAAGATTCCCATTCTTAAAGCTTGCACTGCTAGTACAACCGTGCCGCAACCGACTCGTGTCGAAGCCGTTACGGCACTTATATGGAAATGTGCGATAGCTGCATCGCCATCGCCATCACCGTCGGTGTTGCGCCAAGTTGTTAACTTACGTAAAAGAGTGAACCCTCCATTACCGGAGAACGCCGTCGGGTATCTCGTGTCTTACTTCACCGTAAACTCGCCAGAGAGTACTGAAACAGAATCACAGGTGCTGGTTAAACGATTAAGGGATGGGATTAGGGAATTTAGTGAAAACTACGTGAAGAAACTTGAGGGGAGCGATGCGGTTTCAACGATTTTCGAGGCTGCAAAGGAAGTGGGAAACTTGTCGAGAAGAGATGATATCAAATTCTATAACAGCTTAAGTTGGTGCAGATTTGGTGTATACGAAGCAGATTTTGGATGGGGAAAACCGACGTGGGTCAGCGTCAAGGGTGCCCCCGACGCTTCGAATATTTTCTTATTAATGGATGGGAGGGACGGTGAAGGGATCGAAGCTTGGGTGTGGTTGAATGAAGCGGAAATGGGTTTGTTTGAACGTAATCATGAGCTTCTTGCATTTGCTTCTGTGAATCCTTCTGTTCATTGTTGATTAATTTCAAGTGTGTACTTCGGAATAATCATTTGCTTCTGGGGATCCTTCTGTTTCATTATTGAAAGTAATCATTGTTGATTTTCATCTGTTTTAAAAATGTCGGTTTTAACGAAGAGGAAAAAATGTGTTGATTATTATGATTATGTGTCCTCCTAAAAAAATAGATATATTTTATATTCGAATAATATTAATACTTAAAAAGAAAAAAAATCAAAGTATCGGTAAATTATTAATACACAATAGAATTTCATAGGAAAGTGTTCAAAGTATGGGCTTGATTTGTATTCAAAATTTTGTTAATAAATTGAATAAAAAAAGGTAAAGTATATAAATAGTCTCTGTATTTTTAGAGCGCTTATATTTTGGTCTCCTAACTTTTAAAACTTACAATACAATCATCGAATTTTTAATCGTTTTCAGTAAGGTACTTATTGTACTCTCTGTTGGTCACCAGTACACCCCATGGCACAATGGAAAAATATCCAACGATCCCAACATGAATATGCGTACAAAATTCAGATTCAGGAGGAAGGGATACATGATTTACCTTGGGTTCTTGGAAAAACAGTAAAGCAACAATCGAGTCACAAATATATGTGAATTCCAAGCCTCCACGAATATCGTCTCGACCTCTAGTCAGTTCACCCGGTTGAGAGCAAATTTTCGTTCTCAAAAACTTTTCTTGAGAATTTCGTGTAAAGTGATAAAAAAAGGTTGTTAGGCCATATTTTTCTTTTTTATAATACAGGTGCGCTAACTCTTAGGGTTTAATTTTGAATATAATTAAAAAAAATTATATTATTTTAATATTATATATATATATATATATATATTGATGTTAATTTTTTTATTTATGTACAATCAAATTGTACACTCATAAATCAATTATAATTTGCTCATTTTCAACCATGGGTGTGACCATTTAGGTTCCTGTAACATTAATAGTAATATTAGAACCATTATAACATTACAAACAATGAGTGACATCTAGCAATATATTATTGTCATATAAGTTACAAGAAGTCATGATCTGTCATAACCTCTTCGTGACTAACTCTTATATGTGTTATATCATTTTGTCTTTTATATCTAGAATAGTCACAAATCCAAGAATAGTCACACTTGTATAGCTCATCTAATGTTTCTTGATATTTAGAGTAAACTACAATAAATGAACAACTTGTTTGAACATGGCCATACATTTCTAGTCTCACTCAATCAAATGACATGTGATATAATTCCTGTTATATATGAAGGATAAATCCTATCTTGATCATTCACATCCCACTACATATATTGTAATTTGTTCAACTTCAGTCTTTATAATGCGATCAGTTACGAAGCATGTTTAATTGTATCAAAACATATGACTATATACGTTGAGATAATAATGATCTCAAGTATATGGATTATACATGTAGTTAACACCATGAGCAATGTTGTGACTGTCACATAATAATCCAAAATATGTGCTCATAGCGGGTCAATCCAATATGTCGTTCTCTAGCAACATACTCATGTATTGGTTTTGACATCTCTTTGTCAATGTCAACTCGTTGTCATCAATCAACTATATGTTAGCCTTGAACGCATTATTATTATCCATGCCCATAATAATACTCGACTAAGGATCTTTTAATAACAATCCTATTATTATATGACTTCATTATCTTTCAGTTTATTTAAGTCACATAAGTATAACTGAAAAACAATTATTGCAATGCATTTATTCAATAAACACGGTAAAGAAAGTATATCAGTACAATCATCTCATGATTGGTCTTTGAACATACTCTAACACTCACCCATTAGGTTTTATTGATGTGACATTTAACTTTTGTTAAACCCCCGTTAACCCCCTTGTCCTCCTCCTTATTCTTCTTCGCCTCTATATAGAAAAGACGGCGACAATGAGACATGATCAACTGAGTTTTATTCGAAACAGTGTAAGGACTTCAATGATGGCGGCGGCGTGGTGAACGGATAGCCCTATCGGCCGAAAATTGATCAATATAGAAAAAAGGATTTGGGTTTTTTGACGAGATTCGACCCTCTCCACGACATACAGAGGTGAGTATCGACGAGTGGTTAGCGAAATTTTGGTCGGAATGGGTATGTACTTCTACTGGTACCGACAGTGACGATCACCAACGACTGACGAAGGAGATCGAGAATGTGTGTTCGAATAGTTTTCTCGTAATTTGGGACAAACAGTGGAGGATTAGTATGAATCAAGGGTCGGGGTGTGGTCGGGAGTTGACTTTGGTGATGGCGGTGTGACCCACCGCCGATTGGAGGTGAGGTAAACGAGAAAAGATGAAGAAAACAAAGAAGAAGAATGATAAGGGGTTAACAACAGTCACGTCAACAAATGGTTATGGCAGGGACCTTACTACAAACGATGAAAAGTTGGGTGACCAAAATGTAAGTGTCCCTAAAAGCTAGATGGTTGTACTATGAGTTTCAAAAGTTGGACGACTAGAATGTTCTCAACCTAAAAGTTTGGGGACTATTTATATATTTTACTCTAAAAAATCATAGGAAAGGTGAGAAAAGCAAATGAAAATTTTCCTCCTTTTTCACAAATGAGAAATAAGTAAAGCTATGAAAGCTGATGAGGGCACTACTTTTACTAAAAGGAAAGATGATGATAATAATTAATCAAATAAACACTCATGAACTCTTTAAAAGTAGTTGAATTTTAGATTGAAAATTCATTCTTTTACGACAAAAAAAATGATGATGATGAATGAAACAAACACTCATGAACTCCTTAAAAAACGATTAAATTTTAGACTGGTAATTCATTCTAAATACGTGGAAAAAGATTATAATGGTTGAAAATGTGTTGAAGAGATTAAATCGATAGAATAATAAAATATTAAAAGTTGTTTTTTTTTTAAAATTAAAGATTAAAATCAAATAAAATAATTAAGGGCTAAATTTATTATTTTAGATTTTTTATAATTAAAAAAATGAAAAATATAATTGAAAGATTATCTTTAATATATAAGGGTCAACTACACATTTAGTACCAAAATTATTAATTTTAATCCGTTTTAATACCTAAACTTTTAATTTTTTTAAAATCGTACATATGTTTAGTTTTTGTTTCATTTTAGTATTCCGCCGTTAAGAACTTATCCACAGAGCTCACATGACATTTTTTAAATTATTTTCTTAATTTTAAAATTATTATTTAATTAAGTTTATTCAATTAATAAGATGATAACACATGTCACCGCCTTATTAGAAATATAACAAGCGAAAAATCTCCTTAAGAAAGATATTGTCGGTATTCAAACCTAGGTGTCCTTAGAAGAAGAATAAGTGCCCGACCATCTAAACTAAGCTTGAAGTTGGTATTAGTTTACCAAAGCATATATTTAACTTTTATTAAACTATCTATAAAATAAAACAAAATAAAATAAAAATGTTAGATATATGATTCGAAGTTAAGACATCTCACAAAAATATTTTAACATTTAACCAATAAATTGGGTCAAGAATTGATTTAATACATACTGAAATTATTATTTAACCTATAAAAATATTAAATTAAAATTAAATAATCTTTCATTTCAGTTTAAAATAAAAAATAGTTAAATAATTATTTATGTAATTTATAAAAATTAATATTAATTTATTTTAAAAATTAAAATTTACAATAGAATACAAGTTTTAAATTATTTTAAAAATAAAAAATAATCTTTCATTTCAGTTTAAAATTTTATATGTATTTAATTGTTTAAAATTTAAATTAAAAATTTGTTGATCGAGGGAGGAGAGCTGGTAATGTCGAAGTTGTTGAGGAGTTGGAGAAGACGGCTTGATTATCTCTTCACATATTACTTGAACCTCCAGCATCATGTTTAAGGCTGTTTCTTCCAGTTGTGATTGAGGATTTATGTCTCAACACGTAGCTCTATATATACATAAAAATTATGCTTAATACAGTTTTAATGTATAAGTGTACATAGATTATATAATATTACCGTAAAACATACTTTTATTAAAAATATATATTTAATGTATTGTTGATGTATAATTCTTCGTACTGTTAGTAAATTAAAAAATAAACTTGTTAAAACTTTTTATATAAAGAGCTTCTACTATACTTTATCCCACCTTCATCATATCAGGTCGAATGCATGTCAAATTTTATGTTCATTTTAATAGGTTAATTTTAGGTTAAGGTTCATGCCAGGTCGAATACATGTTAGATTTGGTTATCGTATTATCAGGTTCAATTTGAACTTAGATTATTCTTAAGTTGGGTGCAAGTCAAGTGCAAGTTAGTTTCAAATCTAAAATAATTAGATCTAACTCAGGTTTAAGTCGCAATCAGTTCAAACTCGAATCGATTTTAGGTCATCACCACCTTGTATCACAAATAGTTTAGACTCGAATCAATTTTAGATCATTATTACCTCGTATCATAAACGGATTAAAAACGGATCAATTTTAAATTGTAGTATCACAAATAATTCAGATTCGAATAGGTTTAATTAAATTTTTTAAGCGGATTAATTTTTTACATCCAATTGTTGAGTGCATGTGTGTCATTTGGCTCTCTATATATTACCAACAAACATTGTAAATTCTTGTTTCTATGTCTAGAGGATTGCAATTGAGAGGGCAGCAAAAGCTGCAGAGCCTGAGCAGAATCTGACACTTCTCAAGGTATATGAAATAAACTGATAACAATGATTTATATGAATATAAATTAATTTATGTTTAAAGACTTTCAATCATTAGATTATAAATATTATATTTTATATATAAGTTACTCGAACTTAAGACATCAAAAATTAATAATAATTTCTTAAACACTGTAATCGTTTAGTTCGTGCGGTAAGAATCAGTTGAATATCCATAGAATTATACAAATAGGATGGGTTTTGAATTGGGCATATCTATTGAATATTCAGCAGAAAGTTTTGGGCCCTTCCGTGATAGCCCCATCATGAATTTAATGAAGAGGACAAAGCTAGCTAGCTTGTATTGGTTTACCTTATCGAAGGCAAAACCTTCTGGTTTCTGGAGAAATCGGGAAATTTGAAGACTCAACTCCATCTTTAATTTCTCCAGAAATGTCTACTCTTCCTTTAAAACATCTACCCTTTATTTTTTTCTTCTGTACCTGCTTAAGGCAAAACCAAAGTAAAAACAACCACCTCTGAACCGAAGAAGAAAATGTAAGAACAACCGAGGCTTCAAATGTAAGAACAACATTAGAGCCATGGCAGCAGCAGCAGAAAAAAGAGGCAACCTCGACCACTTGCAAAGAGCTACTACCAGACCCGACAAGAAAAGAGCTGGCCCGGTTGCACCAACAGGTAACTAAAATTACCCAAAGCTTAATTTTTCTCTCTCTTTTCGGATACTGATCGAATCTCGAACTCATGTTAAAACAGGGTCATGGGACAGGTTCCCGACAGCGAGAACAGTGCAACAGATGATGGAAACAATGGAGAGGGTAATGGATGACCCTTTTGCATATTCGAGTACTTGGCCATCGCCGTTGCCATCCTCCCCCGAGAACAGGAAAGGAAGGAGGACGCCATGGGAGATCAAGGAAAGAGAAGGGGAGTAAAAGGTTAGATTCGATATGCTCGGGATGAACAAAGATGATGTCAAGGTGTGGGTTGAAGAAAACACGTTGGTTTTAAAGGCAGAGAAACTTGGGAAAAAGAAGATTAACGGGGAAGAAGAAGATGACGAAGAAGAAGAAGAAGAAGAAGAATGGGATGCTAAGAGCTTTGGGAGATGTGGTAGTAGAATTGTACTGCCTGAAAATGTTGAGTTTGAGAAGATTAAAGCCGAAGTGAAAGATGGGGTTTTGTACGTAACCATTCCTAAACCTAGTCGTGATTCTAGGATTTTGAACATTCGTGTTAATTAAACTATTATTGTCGAAGATAATTAGAAATTAAATAGGGTAAATTACAGATTCAATAGAATTTGATCAATCCTTTTTTCTGTCGTTAAGGTGGAGAACTGAACCAAGAATTCTCTTTCTTTATCATCAATCGAATCACTGTTCGCGACCCAAGATTCTATTTTATCATCAATCCAATCACCGCTCACGTTTTTTCTTTTTCTTATCAATGAATAGATCTCTTTACTTATGACTTAGATGTCTCGTATTTCTCGAAAAAATGATTCGATTGATGGGATTTAATATGATACTTATGAGATCGATGATATCGATGAGATTGATATTCAAATATTTCTTCTTAGAACGTATTGATTTGACCCCATAAGTGGGACCACCACCCCATAGCATGTTGCCGCCAAAAGCAGAACCCCGTATTTCTTTCTAGAGAATCTCCTAATTGTTTCAGAGCAACTAGAAAGAGATTCTTTAACCAGAAAGAATTCAGTTCAGATGTAGGATACCTATCCAGAAGTTTTCGCAACTCAATCATGTATGATGGAATCATCAAAGATTTGACCTTTTCGAACTCTGTCTGTAACTCACTATAGGCTCGGGAAACAAAGAGAAGATGTGTACGAACGAGATATCCAGCAACAAGAAGAAGGAAAAGGATTGAATAGAGGAACTCCTGAACATTTGGCGATCTCAGACGTGTCGATATCAATGGTGACTCATTATTTCGATGAATCATTTCTTCGGACAGAAGAAAATTATGTAAACACTTACTCGAAATCTCACTTATCAGATTCCATTGTGGAAGACACGATTTTTTCTGAAGAATTCGCCATGATATATCTGATCCATGCATACTATCATGAAAAATGGATACAAATTTTTGACTGCTACTTAGTATCGGCAATAGGTCTGAAAAAGTATCTAAAAATATCAAATTTAGATATTTGTACCCTGTCGAAGTAAGGACCCATGGCATATATGTTTGGAATAGATTCCGTTTTGAGAGAGTTGAAAAAGCACTATCTCGTTGAAAGGTTCTATACATCCACCCTTTCTCAACGCATTTCTTTAGACAAAGACTCCATTTTTTCCGCTTTTCGGATGGTAAATATTTCTCAGAACATGGAGTGTGAATCAAACCCATGTTTGAATTGAAATTGAGATACTGATGCAAGTTCTTCTCTTCTGAATCAGATGGATTCATATCTGAAAGAGGTTGACAATAAGTTCTTTCAAAATTGACTATTTGTCCCTATGTTAGAGGTGTTCCAAAAATGTCTGCAATCGAGTAAATAGCTCTACGAACTAATGGATCGGATCGAATTGCAAACTGGAAAGATTTGTACAAGTTATACCTTTCGTCACCACTTTGTGGAAAATCATTAGATATGAATATGTTAGATACCTGCGACTCGATTGGTGAAGGTGAAATAATATCATGATTGATAATTTTTGTTTATATCTTATATATATATTTTTTACTATCGTTAAAATTTTAACTGATGTTGATGTAGTATAATAAATATATAAAATTAGAAAGGATAAAGTATATAAATGTTACTAATATTTAAGTATTTTTTTTATTTTTCTACCTTTTTAACATTGATTTTTTTTGGGATTTCTAAGCTCATATAAAATATCATGAAGTGTTATAACAATTGTCAAATTTGTATAACTACATGAAATACACTTAAAATCTAAGGTAAATTATGTAAATGATTGTTAATGTTTGAGTGATTTTTTGTTTTTATCACTGATGTTTTAAAAGTCATAAATCGATCATTAACGTTATCGTTTATTACAAATTAGTCACACGAAGTTAATAATCTTTAACATGCATGACGAAAAATACATTTGGCGAGTTAACTGTTTACATGGATTGAGTTGATCGTCATATTTTTGATATTTTATTAGGAAAACGAAAATTTAAACATTAGTGATCAACTCTGTTGTTTATCCTAATTAATAAAAGGGGGAATCAAAAGTTTCATTTATCATTCTGAAACATTCTTCTTCTTTCATAGACATGTTTCTTGTTCTTTCATAGACATGTTTCTTCTTCTTTCATAAATCATTTTCTTATTCTTCTTCCATAAACCCATTTATTCTTCTTGCATAAACTCATTTATCCTTTTTCAATTCGTTTAAGAGAAAAAATATTGAGAAAAACGATTTCTTATTATTTCATTCGTCTAAGAGAAAATGTAATGAGGAAAACGAGCAAAGAAAACCCATCATACTTACGTGGAGGTTACGATAAAGGGGGGACAACATTATGCTTTATGGTAAGTTTCTTTTGGGTATTATAGAAAAAAAAATCTTAGCTGGGCATCCACAACTGCAAAATGGAACATCAATGGAGTCTTCCATCTTCACAGATTTTCTCTGCTCTTCCAATTTTCATTTTGTGTGTGTGTAAAGAATAGAGATAGAAATGAAAATCTTTAAATTAAGTTTAGGGATTGTGTTTTTTTAAAGGAGAAAAGGTGTCCGTTGAAGGCTTTTGGGTCTCTAACGTGGCAATCAACCCAGTTAATCCAGTCCATGTAAGCAGTCAACGCGTCAGCTGTTTTTCGTCACTATTGTTAACGTCGAGTGACCAATTTGTTATAAATGATAACATTAGTGATCGATTTGTGACTTTTGAAATATTAGTGATGAAAATAAAAACTTACTCAAACATTAATGATCAATTTTATATTTTTTCTTATTAAATTAAAAAATATAATATTTATTCACTTTTATTTCTATTTAATTAAGATGCGATCATCAAAAGTTAATTATCGTTAAACTTTTAACGAATTATTAATGTAACAAAATAAATATATAAAATTAAAAAAGATAAATTATATAAATGATACTAGTAATTTTTCGATTTTTTCACCTTTTTAACATTGATTTTTTGGAATTGCTAATCTCATTTCAAACATCGTTAAGTGTTATAACAATTGTCAAATTTGTATAACTGCACGAAATACACTTAAAATCTAATCATTAGTTGGGTTTCCAAAGAACCCAAATAATATATTAAATCAAAACCTACGTAAACTATTATTATTACGTTTATAATTTAAGCAAAACACGAATAATTAGAATTAAGAAATATCTATAAAAATTTTATTATTATTTCAAGGATATTTTTGTCTTAAACGACATGAATTATATAATATCAAAAAATTTAAATATAATGACATCTATGCCATTTAAAAAGAATATTACAATTGCTAATAAATTATTATATGATAATAACATTTTCCATAAATCAGAAATAAAAACGTAATTTAAAAGAAATTATATTTGTTACCTAAATATAATTTTGTTTTGATGCGGATGTAGTTGACCAATCTCCATCAAAGTCAAACCAAGTTTTTGTTTTGACTTATGAAAAGGAAAGAAAAATGTAGATGTGTAGCCAACATTTTCATGCATAATTGCAGACAACAGCCGTTGCGAAACCTATTTTCTTAAAGCCCTTAATTATTTGCCTGCATCCATGGCTGCACCTATTCTTTATTTCCTTTTTTGTTCATGTCTTCCAAATTCAAATTAACAGCCAATTTTAAGTAATACAAAGGCTTTCCAGATACTCTAAATCCAACGAGTCCCTACATTTCCCCCCTTTTCTATTTATTTTTTCCTCACTCTTGTCAGTTATCAGCATGAACTGGCCATAATAATTTATAAAAAAAAAGGCAAACAGGAAATAAAAAGGAGCTTTCTTTTCCGGAGATTGAAATGGACCCATTACCATGAGACTACTGTTTTCAGATAATAACGGTTAGATTCGAAGAGGGGGAGCTTGTCTTTGCTTTCTTTTTTGTTTTACTTGCAGAGTGACTGTGAACCAGAAGAGTTAACGAGAAGACAAGAACAAGTGAGAAGGAAGCTACAGAAGAAGAGAAAAAGTTCTGGGTTTTTTTTGTTTTGTTTTAGAAATGGATGAATCTGCTTGTCTCGTTAGATTGTTTTCTAATCCTGTAGATGTTTCTTGTGAATTTGAAGAGGTTAGTTTTGTGAACAAAGCCTGAAACTTTACCGATAAAAAGATGATTCTTTTAGTTTTACTATTTACTTTGTTGCTTAAATGGATTTTCTTGATTCAATTTTTATTTTTTTATTTGGACTTGTTTTGTTAATGGGAATATGGGGAAATGAGTACTCATAGAAGATTGGGGGGGGGGGGGAAAGAGATTAGGGCTTTTAATGGCTGTTTCCTATCATTTTCTCGGTGACCAAACACAGCATACTTGACATTCCAATGATTTCCCCAAGAAAATTGTCTGATTATGCTGTTTTTTCTCCATCAATCTTTGAGCTTCAAGCTTTTTGTTATTCTTCCTGTTTGAGTCAGGAAACTGATGGTCGATTTTGAATCTCAGGGTGACCCGGCTCATGGCCAGATTCGTGCCCTCACAGAATCGATATCTTTCGGCAGATTTATGTCGAAATCATTGGCATGGGAGAAATGGTCAACATTTTCTCACAATCGTTACTTGGAAGAAGTCGAGAAGTTTTGGAAACCGGGATCTGTTGCTCAGAAGAGGGCGTTTTTTGAAGCTCATTACAAGAGAAGAGCTGCGATGAGAGCCGCGGCTTTGCTTGAGCAGACCAATATTGTCACAAACGATGCTTCTCAAATGGATTTAGCCAATTCGAACACGCCTTCAGCTGCAAATCAACAAGTGTTAGATTTTTCCGATGCTGAGATAGCTAATACTGCTTATGTAGATGCAGGCAATCTTAATGTTTTAAGAGAAAATGATGTCACCAACGTGGAACAAGGTCCAACGCTGATGGAAGAAGATGTGAATATGGAGGAATGTCAGCAGGTTAAGAATTTGAATGCTTTCGAAGATGTTGAAATCCATGACAAGATTACGGCAACCCCAACGATTCCTCTGAAGGTATTGTTTATTTAAACTAGTTTCTGTTTCATTCTTCCTTTAAATCGGGTTTTTATTTATATGTTTATCCTCATTATGGAACACTACAGAAACATGATGAGCCAAAGAACCCGACTTCATCAAGCAAGAAAAGACGAACAAATTCTCCATCAAAGGCATCTCTTCCTAGTAGAGCATCCAAATCTCCACTGCATCCTTCTAAACGACTGGCTCCAGGACCAGTCAGGAATGATGCTGATGTTGCTATGCCCACCGGAAACTCAAATGACAAGAAGAAAACAATGCCAAACCTGCTCCACATGCCAATTAATTTTGCTTCCAGTGCTGGTAAAACTAATAAAACGTCATTAAGAATGTCAAGAGATAGTGCAACTCCTCCACAAGCACGAACCAGGGTATTGAAGAAAGCTGCTGGTCAAGAGAATTTAACTCCATCAAGTGAAAAAAGACAAACAAATTCCACTTTGAAGTTAACTAATCATGGTGGAGTATCCAAAGAAGCAATGCCTAGAATCAGAAGTGAGTCAAATAACCATGCTTTTATTAATAAGAAGCCTTCATTAGACTCAAATGAGCAGAGGAGAATAACTCAAAAATCCCTTCACGTGTCAATGAATTTCTCTCCACGTGCTGGTGAAGCCAATAAAACATCGCCCAAGATATCCGGAGAAAGTTCGACTCTGCTACGAACTCCATCCAGGGTAATGTCTCTATCACGCTATTTGTTTGCTGTTCTATTTGCACATTCAAGAGTGGATGACAAAATAACATATTTATTTTCACAAGGTGAAAAATCAAAATATTGTTGGACATTTTTTTTATTTAGAATTCTTTTGAGGGTACTAAATATTTAGGAAATAAGCATGAAGTGTGATTAAGAAGAGTTTCATTCACAAACTGCAGGCAACTGTTAATGGGGGTTCAAATCATGCTTCCAAAGTTATTCAATCACAAGATAAAAGGTAATCTTCACTCCTGAAATGTCTTTGTGGAAACTTTGTCCAAATGTTTTCCCTTTTGCTTACATGATTAGACCTATACCTACAGAACCATATCAGTAAATAAGTCAGTTTCAGCTGCAGGAAACAAGCGATGGCCACCCATTTCCAAGTAAGAGTTTTTACTTCTGACATTTTACATGTTTTGCATACTGGTGATGTCTGAAAACTAATCGAAGTTATTAACATCGTTTATCGGGAAGCTACCACAAGTGCGTTGTGCGGTATTTATGCACAATTTGATTTCAAAGTGCAATGGCTTCAGTGTGTTATTTTTCCCCGGTTTTACTTTGTAGACCGGGTCGCAGATACCATTGAACTAATTACCAAAGTCCATGTCTTATATGAACCTCATAATTATTCTGTATTGATTGTGTGGCAGCTGCTCGAAATCTTCAAATGCAAGTGGAACAAGGACAAAATCTACTAGTTCGTGTCCATTTAGTTTCAGGAGCGAATAAAGGGCAGAAAAACGGAAAGAGGCAAGTCTTACCATTACTTTTTTTTCATGCTTTAATTGCTATGCTTTCAAATCATACAAAGCTTAGTGTTTCCCTTACTTGCTCCATTCCAGTTCTTTAAGACGCTAGAAGACAAAATGAATTCAAAGGAGGCAGAAAAATCACACACGCAAGTAAAATCAAAGGTACTACAAATCAGACAACCTTGTTAGGATGTTAACACAAGTTGTAATTGATAAACCCTGCGGTTCCTAAGTCGAAGCTCATAAATTGCAAAGTAGTGAACTAATTGATGAATCATTTTAGATGAGTTGCCCAATTAGATATAGAGAATTGTATTATACTACATGTGTACTCGGTCCTTGTGTGCTTATTTATTGCATTTGCTTCTTTGCATGTGAAACTGATTTATGGCCTGTGATATCCAGGAGAAAGCAAAGAATGACTTGAATAAATTCAGGCAAAGCACTGATGTTGAAGCTAGATCAAATGAAGGTTCATGCCATGGATCACAGATATCACACAATTATGTTAAGAAGGTTCTTATCACATAACTCTTAACTTACTTTCATTTGATGCTGACAATGATACAATGGAATATGCTGCTTCCCTTTTTATTATCTTGAACAGCTTAACCATTTGTTTTAATTTTTGTTCTCTATGCATTGGAATAGAATTAAAGTTAGCCTCAAGTTACATTGTCAGTTCAATACATACACACAGACACATACTTTGTGATCCTTTATTTCTCTTGGTGGTCAGTAGGTGCAGAGGCAAACTTAACTTTGTCCCGATCTTCCCCGAGTTTCAAATTCATTGAATTAGTGTAATTGGAAAAGGTTGATGTTCTATGTTTTCTACCGTGCCTTGAGCTTTTGTGTTGCCCATCTGACAGTAAATTTATGCTTTGCAGATCACTTCAAGTTAGCCTCAATCACCAAAACAAGGAAGGAAGCAATCCCGCAGCACAGTGTAGAATGCAAACTCTATACCTCCAAAGAGGCCTTCCATTAATACTGAAAGCTCCAAGAATGGACTAATGAAAAATAATAGGATATTGGGGACCTCATTGCCAAAGAAAAGGCATGAAAATGCTTCCCCCAATATCCAGGTTTCTGTTGGCAAAGTGAGTATTTCATCCAAGCACGAAAATGCAGGATCAATAGCTGGTGGATGCAGCCGATGACCTTAAGTTCTTCTAGTGACACAGTTATAGAAACTGAAAATAATGTTGTGAGATAGAATGGGAAAGATAACAAAGTGTAGTTTGTAATTTTTCTTTAGTGCCAAATTCCACATAGGTCCTAGGTACACTTTTGTGAAGAACCTTAGCTATTTTTCTGCGTATGAAGTTTTCTGTCTGGTTATGTGGTTTGGATTATGTTAGCTGTCTATGCTAAATCTCAGAGGAGTTTATCTCCATTCTTGAACTGTTCACGGGCACGTTAATACTGCAGTTACAGATGCATAGTCCAGGTCAGAAAATTTATAGCAGTAGAACTATTATGTTTAATGTTTTATCACCATTTGTATTATACATGTTTTTCAACATCCAAGTCCAAACTGTTTATGAAAATGACATCCAATTGAAGTACCTGATATAGAAAAGGATGGTCTCTTCACCGAAAATGACTTCAAGATACGCCAACATCCCTTGATCAATTGCATAATATTCTGTAGGATCGAAGAGATGCTTGTGGTCGAACCTCGGTGCATCATACAAGTAGAATGGAATTCCGGGTATCAATGCTGAATCATTGTACTCGGAGAACTCATAATCCTGGAGAGCAAAGTTCATAGGATAAACATCACCTTGAAGCCAGCAGATTTGTAAGTCCTCAGACAGTGATGCCCTTAGTTCATAGGTACTACCATGCCGGCAGCATTCAGGTTTCTCTGTGCAAATTCTGAGTCAGCGAGGCAATTTTGGCTGATGCCCATAGTTTTCATGCTTGATAATAATAATTTATCATTTCATAAATAATAATAGTAATGAACTTGGTGTAAGCCCAGTTTAGACCGTTGTTAGCTGATTTTAAAGTCATCTACCGATGGACCCTTTCCCTATATTGGACCTGCTGCCCTAAGATATTTGGATATGAACAAGAAAAAACTATATATATATATATATATATATATAAGCAGCTAGTAGTTTTCTTTTTCAAATAGGATGATCAGGCCAAATTAAATTAGCAATAACATCCTTTGTGTTGCATATCAATTCAGAGTTGAAAGGTGTCCATAAATGAATTCTTCCATTGGTTTAACAGTGAAGTGCTAAATGTCTTAAATTTAGTGCTAGTTTGAATTTGAGACGCTTTTCCCACTTCCAATTATTCAGATGTGAAGGCATTGTCCCACACGATCGGCCGCCTTGTGTTATTCACAATTTCACATTACCATTTCCTTATCAAACCGAAGTTGTGTTTTTTGTTTGACAAAGACAAGGCGGTCTCGAAGCCCGGGGCTTCCGCCTCATCATTTTGATTGCTTTGTTTATGGGGCCCTTGGAGATGGCGTAGTGAAGCTATGCTATAAATGAATATAGATTTAATTCATTCGTGACGTAACTTTATTATTATTTTTAGTTTACAAATAAAAGAGTAAAATTAAAATTTGATTATATATAAACGAACGTTAAATAAATATGTTCGTGAACGTTAAATTAAATGAACATATTCATAAACTTATAAATAAATACGTTCAAAAACATTAAACGTGTTCATTCGCGAACAACAAATAAATAAGAACGAACATATTTAAAAATAAATAAATAAACATCAACACATTTAAAAATAAATATGAACACGGATATAATTTTATTCGTTTAAGCTCGATTGATTTACACCTCTGATTGCATCTTAAGCCCCCGTTTCAAGTTTTCGAACCTCCCTGTAACGTTGAACAACACTTCGATCCTTCAATAATTTGTGACTTTCCAAGAAATTTCTCTCCCCCGTTTTACCATTAATTGTTCATAACAGTTTATGATAGCTATTGAGAATGTAGGTTTTGTTTAATTTTATAGTTTGGAAAATAAAAAGAATAAATTATATCCATGACCATTTAATTATTGCATCTTTATGCTTTAACCAACAATCTTTCATTTTTTTTGAGAGGAAGAGAGATACAACACTTGTCTCCTTTTTGGTTTATGTTATACAATAACGTGATCATTTATTATTTACAATTTAATTCGATCATATGAAACAAGTGTATATTGGACCCAGAGATTATTTGGACACACAAAAGTCACAAAACTGAAGTTTTCCGGTTGTCGGGAAATGGCTAAAGTCTTAATAAAGAGAAAATAACCTCCGTGACCAAAAATACCTTATAATATACGATTTTAACCAATTTTTTTTGGATTTGCCAAAATGACCAACTAAATCACAATGCGATCGATAATTCGCAACGCGATCTCCGGTATCGCAAATCAGTTTCCAGATTCGCAACGCGATTCTGACTATCGCATTGCGATTTCTCAAATTCGCGTTGCGATTTTCCTAATTCGCAATGCGAATACGTAAATCGCAACGCAAATTTGGAAAATCGCAATGCGAATACGTAAATCGCAATGCGAATCTGTAAATCGCAACGAGATTCTGACTATCGCAATACTGAATTTCAAATTCGCAACTCGATTTCTGAATTCGCAACAGGTTTTAGTTTCGCAACATAAATGTTTTGGGTATATAACTACGCAACAGCAATAAGTCATAACCTAAATCCCTAAATCGCAACTCATTCCATCTCCATCTATCACTCTCTCCGGCGACATCCGTTCCTATATCCAACGACATCCTTCCCCATCCGGCAACAGGTTTTAGTTTCGCAGCTTGTTTGTTTAGTAAATTAATTTACAATAATGAAATCATCTAATGTTGATCATGTTTGGATAGATTTGTGTTTTGGAGGGTCATGGGAGAATGTTCATGGTGTTTTACAATATATGCCTTTACCCATGAATCTTCAACTAAAACTGTCATTAAAAAAGTTAACTTATGAAACTCTAATGTTACGTGTTGCAAATAAATTGAATTTAGAGCCCCTAAGTGAATTTAGGCTATCTTATCAGAGAAATGGTAAAGTTTATTTGTTAACCGACAATGAAGATGTTGAACGATTTATTGCTTACATTAGTGTTTCAAGTGATGATGTTACATTGTATGTTGTTAAACCTAGAAGTAGTGAAGTTGGGTCAGTAGCGGGTAGTAATCAACTAAGTTTTTCAACCTCAGTTTATGGTGCTCAAAATTTAATGGTTCCACCACAATTTCATCACCAAGCAAATATTGTTTCACCACATTTCCAATACCAAACACAATCTCAAAACCCACAACCTTTCCCTAATCCAAATCCCAATCAACTTTCAGCACCAAATTCCGGTTTTCGTATTGACCAGTTAGACGATGATGAGCCAACAGAAAAAATTGTGAGTACTAGTCATTATTCGAAATTTGATCTTGGTAAATACCCGGACTTTGATCTTGGTCAATACTCGGATTTTGATGATTTTTCAGAAGATGAAACAGACCCTGCGTGTAATGATTTTGATATTGGTCAATACCCGAATTTTGATGATGAAACAACCATTGCCGAGGAAGATGTTGTTGATGATAACGAGGAGGAAGTTACGACTGTAAATGAACATGTTGAACATACATTCTGTAATTCATATAACACTGAAGAAGAAAAAGAAGAAGAAGAAATTCCCAAAGAAAAGTCCCCGAAGAAAATACCACGGGAGTATAACTGGAATATGCCAGAATTACTTCAGATACCGGAAGAAGAGTTGGTAAAGATAGCAGTTGATTGTTACACAAAAATTATTCGTATCAAGAAAGATGATTGTTTTGATGCAAAGGAAGACTTGAAGATAGCTTTGTATACGAAATGTGTGGAAGATGGCTATCAACTAAAAGTTAACAAATCAAGCAAAGATCGTTTCGAAACAAGGTGTATGATTGACAAAAACTGTACGTGGCGTATGATTGCAAAGAGGATAAAAGATTGCGAAATGTTTCAAGTTAGGACTTTTATTGATAAACATACATGTTCAAGAACCCAAGTTTTTCCTCACCATGGACAGGCAAACAAAAAGGTGTTGGGTGGTTTTCTGGCTGAGTTAATGTTTTTGAATGGCAGGGTATATCGGGGACATGAAATTATGACTGACATGAATGATCGGTTCAAGATTAGTATCTCATATTCTCAAGCTTGGAGAGCCAAATGTTATGCCTTGGAATTTTTGAGGGGGTCGCCAGAAGCATCGTTTGCCCAACTGCCGGCTTATTGTCACAATTTAAAGCTGAAAAATCCTGGGTCGGTAACTCATATCAAAACAGATAGAGATGGACGCTTTGAGTTGATGTTTATCGCCATTGGTGCTGCGGTTAGTAAATCAATATAATTTTGTTGACTCATTTTTGTTAGTTACATGTATTTAACATTTAAATGATTATATTTCTTGTGCATATGATTTTGTAGATTCGTTCGTTTATTAATTGCATGCGCCCAGTTATTATAGTTGACGGAGCACATTTAAAAGGTCGATACCTTGGAGTAAACTTATTAGCAGTAGCCATGGATGCTAACAATGGGATACTGCCAATAGCTTACGGGGTTGGCAAATCTGAAACCTCTGATTCATGGACATGGTTTATGGGGCATCTTAGGGATTGCATAGGTCCTATTAGCAATATGACAATCATATCCGATAGAGATGGACGCTTTGAGTTGCTGTTTATGGTGTTGCGATTAGTAAATCAATTTAATTTTGTTGACTCATTTTTGTTAGTTACATGCATTTCACATTTAAATGATTATATTTCTTATGTATATGATTTTGTAGATTCGTTCGTTTATTAATTGCATGCGCCCAGTTATTATAGTTGACGGAGCACATTTAAAAGGTCGATACCTTGGAGTAAACTTATTAGTAGTAGCCATGGATGCTAACAATGGGATACTGCCAATAGCTTATGGGGTTGGCAAATTTGAAACCTCTGATTCATGGACATGGTTTATGGGGCATCTTAGGGATTGCATAGGTCCTATTAGTAATATGACAATCATATCTGATAGGGCAAACTCAATTGACAACGCTGTTAGAAGGTGTTTCCCAGATGTTTTTCATGGACTTTGTGGTGTTCATTTGTATAGAAATCTAAAATCAAGGTCTGCTGGTATAAAAAATCACAAATGGACATACTGGAATGCTGTAAAACCTTATCGGGAAGTGGATTTTAATAAGCATATAAACTGTTTAAGACGTGTTTTGCCTCAGTGTGCTCAAACACTAGAAAATGTCAGGTTTGAAA